CTTGGCTTCGCGCCCGATTGGGTTGCCGGGCACTACTGAGCCCCCCCCACCACGACAAGGTGAACACACGTTGGGGGGGATGGAATTTAACCCCTGGTTAAAGTTTAAAAATACATTATATTATTTACACAAAGTTATTTGTAAAATAACTAGCATTGCCCGCGGCTCCGCCCGCGTTCAGGTGACCAAAAACCAAATTCTTAGGTTTTACATATTAGTAGGTATATTCTTACATTGCAGTTTTTGTATTTTTTTCTCAGAAATAAGATATTTTCCCGCGGTAAACAGTATCCTATATGTTGACCCGGATAAACAGCTATCACCATACCAAATTTCATCAAAATCCCTCCAATGGTTTTTCTGTGATGCGGTAACAGACAGACAGACAAAAATTCTAAAAACTATAGATACGGCCTCTGTATCGATAATAATGTTTATTTCAATAACATTTTCCAAAAAATATTTAATGTACAGATTCGGCTTTGTTATAATTTTATTATATAAAAAACTGACAAAAGCTTTTCACTGAAACCAAACCATATTGCACCGATTTCTATACGGACAGATGTACGAGTATAATATTAAAAATTTGAGTCATGATTACTGTTTCATTACGTGTTTCTTATGAATATTATTGTAAATGTAATATTTAAATCAAATCGAATGTAAAAATTTTAAACCTGTCATATCTTCCTATTGCTATATTCATGTAGTTTTCACTTTTGTTTATAGTCGTGCTTGATAGTATTACATTTACCTCCAATTAAAAGGGACGGACCCTTCTTTTATCTATAAAAAAGGTGTGGCTTCAATAAACATTAACCTTAGCTTACAATAATATTAATAATTAAAATAATAGTAAAGATAATAGTTCCGGAATCTGCAAGTTTTTACCTCACGTACATTTCCATTACGTATCTAAAAGAAAGTATGAGGCATTTGTAAATGATTGTATATTCAAGTAAATAGTAACTACGCAGTACTTTCAAGCACTACGTTATTTATGGCAAAGGGGAGACACGTAATTGAAAGTAGCAATTAACATTGCTGGCTGGAAATTACTGCCCATTGTTAACTCTTAACGAAAACAAGTCATTGAATATTCTCTCAAAATTCATGGGATCTCTAATAGATTAATTTAACTTGTCCATATTTTAAACTCTACATTTCGTAAACGTTTTAATTTATCACTTTACTTTCATCTTTGTTTATAAATGTGGTATACACAACAAAAAACATAGTGTACGCAGATAACAATTGATATATGGCTGTTCGTTACGCAATAAATAGCCAGGTTGCCTGCTACGCCGTAAACAGTATTTATTGTATCACTGGACTGACATCATTCATTGCATTCACGCACTCTCTTGGATTAATTTGTATTGAATATGTTACTAGGAATCGTACACGAGTGTAATATGACTAGATATTGTCGATGCAACGCCGTGTTCGCACGATGGTAGGTGCGTGAGACAATTTTTATTTGGCTTCCTAAGAAGCTCGTTTAATATAAAGCTCCTCACGTCTCTTCACAAACACCTTTAGAAATTGCCGCTACGGGATCACTCAATTGTTCCTAAAATTCCATGTTTTTATGTTGAAATTAAGTCTGATTCGTAACTCGATGTCACGTAGAGCAGTGAATTTTTCCGCTCTCGTGTGGAGCTTACGAAAGTGCAACAGCTTGTGTTGGTTGATAAGGAAAAAGTGGATCACTAAAACAGAGTAATAGTGTCATCGCTTATCAGAAAAGAGGCATTATTTCACCCAAATTAAGATAAAATCGGTAGTAATTTTGTAACAAAAGCTGAGTAAGACAATCATAAATAAAGTTACACAACAGATAAAAAAATGATATATACCCAATATTTTAATGAAAGAAAGCTAATGAATAATTTATAAAGATATTTATTTACACACTACAAGCCACATATATAATTTTCAGGATTGTTAAAATTTGTAACGAAGATTTATGTTTTTGAAAGAACTAATCTTGGATTATTTACATATTAATAATCTAAGGAACTACTATGGAAAATCACATTCAGAATAGACACTGTGCTTATTACTTATACGTATACTGAGTGAGTTATAAGTAAGGAATTTATTTTTATTTTTTTGTTAGGTTTTATTAAAATTCTTTTCATTATGAACTATCCATATCAAATTGATTTTATTTTATAAGCATTGTAATTTCTTCTTCAAACTTTTAGATCAAATATGTGAAGGTAAACAATTATAGATTTACGGTATAAACTTTATAAATATAAATAACTGAATGATAGCAACGTTTACGATTACAAAACAATGGAGCTTAATATCAAAGCGCACCGCTTCCGTTGATTTATCGTCTTTCCGACACTGGACCCTTTGTTTGCATCCTCATTCTTCACTCTCTATTCGTTCACTGGTTCCTCGATCAAAAATTTTGTTCCGTACTGTTGTCGCTTGTAGTTTTTCAAGTGAAACAGTACTGATAATATCGTTAAAAAATATTTTTGTTATAGGTATTTAACGCATTACTTGTCTATTCTATATAAGAAATATTGTAAAATTCGTATTACTAAAATTAAAGAATTTAAACTCTATATATTTTTTACCTTTAGTATCATAATTCATGTTTAGTAAAGGGTAGAAAAATAATTAATATTTATTTTATCGAAATCGCTCTCTGAATACCTTACATATACATACCAAAATTCCACACAAATGTTTTACCATGGAAAAGAGCGAGTCTAATATTGTATGTAACCGCCTTTCACCCTCTTAAGGGCTAATTTTCGAGATAAAAACTATTTTATGTCCTTCCCAGTCTCAAACTATCTTCTTACCAAATTTCATCTAAATCGGTTCAGTAGTTTCGGAGCCACAAACAAACAAATAAAATTTTTTTCCTCTTTAAACGTAATATTAGAAATTAGAATAGAAAAAATTTTAGGAATTAAAGCTTCCATGTGTAAGTTACATTTATTTGATAATATTTTGTAATTTAATCTTATAAAGAAATAAAAGAAAAATACAAGTGCAGTAAAAGTAAATACATAGTAAAGTATTATAATACGTATGATTACAACATTTTAGTACATTTTTAGATAGTATGCTCGTTATTGCTTGTATAATTTATGAGAATACTGAATTAGTTACTTTACTAGAATGATATATGCATTACATTACCGTGATATAACGATATATTGCATAATTTTCAATTTAAAAAATAGATATTAGATAATGTTCTAAAAAATGAAAAACTAATGTGATCAAATTTACAATATGCTATTCAATAGGCAATATTTTGTCAAATGCGGCTATAAATGACTTGCACATGATTTAATTTATAAGAGAAAAAATTTCGGTAGCATTGTTAATTTTAAATAGAAACTATTTCTACGGATATTCGGTGCATCGATGAATCAAAGCATCAAAACCAGCTGTTCGATAAAATTTGATTCAATCAACTAATGGGGCGTGTGCGACGAGCGACGAGTTTACATCTCAATATGTCCCTATGGAACTATCTATAATGGCTACTGTGGAGTGCTTTTTTGTTGGATTTCGGTATGGCACGGGCGCGGCACAGGCCTGCGTCCCTAGACATGAAGCAGGTGATCGAAACAAAATTATGTGCGTCTTGCATTTGCGTCTGTTATAGTATTTGTAACAGAACTTTTTTGTTAAACCGATTAGCTGAAAAGTTGAGAAACGTATAACAATATTTAAGTAAGTTTAATAGTTCTTAAGTTTTGTATTGTGTTTTATTATATAGGAAATTCTCGACATCTTTGTAAGTTATTCATTGTAGACCATTAGATGTGGTATTTTAAATTCGGAATCATTGTACAGTATTCGTATCATCTGGACCGCAAATGGCACCGTTATCGTCGGCGCCGGCGCCTGTGCAGCATTATGACGTCATTGTACTATAATTAGAAGCATGAGAGTACTGGAAGCTCTCATACACTAACACGAAGCTTGTGGTCTGCTACAGGCACTTCAGCGTGACTAATGCTGCACATTTTGCATAAAACAAAACAGTCTACTCTTATTTATTAAGAGTGATATTGCATATAGGTAATATGTACAAGCTTTATCCGATGTGATTTACAGATGTCAATCACAATTTGCTAACGAGTGTAAAACTTGTCAGGGGTTTAACAAGATAAAGATCATGCTCGAGTTGTATTATGGCATGAAAATTGGGCAAATGATGTAATATTATATTTCTAACAATAGCACAGCTTTGGATTTATTTTTTTTCATTGTATGTATATATATATATGTATGTATTCAGCCCCTTTTTAACGTCCCACTGCTGGGCACGGGCTTCGCTTCACTAGGTTTCCCAAGCGATCGCGTTACCACTGGGCTACCACTGCCTTATTCTATAGCCTCTAGCCTATAGCTTCCATAGCCTTATAATTCAACATATGTACATATATGAACTTTTTAAAGGAAAGAGTTAAGAGTCATTCATACTGTTTTAATTTTTATATATGAAACAAAATTTTTTAATATCCGGTTTAAGGTTCAATAACAAATAAATAAAGCAAAATTTTTACATTTAAGTTGAATGGCGCCTCAACGGTGCTTTTGATCTTTGTAAGTCGTTAAGGATAGGGATATCGGGTAGGAGGCAGGTAAGCTGTAGAGGCGGGTGGCCGGTGGTTGAGCCGTTACACCGGGAATGTTCGCCGCGTGCCGTCGTCTATACTATATAATAATAATACTTTTTCCCTTAAAAGATTTACACTTATGAATAAATAATAGATACGAGAATTCTTAGATTTATATAGCTGTTACACAATAATTTTATTTGTCGGGTGCCTCTGTTGTCCTACATATACGAGTATGTATTTATAAACAATACTCTTTTATTGAAGCATTTAATTTGATTAGACATGTTCATTATAATGGGTTTATTAACCAATACAAAAACAATATTAAATGAAGATAAAAATATAATTTACATATTATGAAGTATTAATAAATAAAAATTGTTACAGAAAGAGGGAGTGGCGCAGACACATGTATTTCGCAGCAAGGTATTCAAGAAAGCGAGATCATGTCAATGGTGTCATCAACCAGTGCAAAACCAGGGTAGCTGTTGTAGAGGTTAGCATCTCATTTAAGGCCATATACTTATATATATTATTTTACTAGCGACTAAGCTTCTCGTTCGTGTTCGTTCTTAGCTTGCTTCCCCATACAAACTTTCATCCCCATTCTCACCCCCTTAAGGGATGATTTCCGGGATAAAAACTATTTCACTCTCCCACTTTTCATATCATGAGATTTAAAAAATTCTTATTTTAGTATAAAAATATTTTTTTATTCTTTTTCTATTGTTAAGTGTAACGCCAGCGTGTCCGCGGTCGCTGAGGGATTATAAAAATATATTTTATATTATAAAATCTTTGATTACTTTACTTACCTGCTAATTTTACGATAAGTTGACATTCAAAGGTTATTGACTACAAATGTACTAGAACTCCAGACGAATATTTAATCTAAATGTCACGGTTGATGTTTTGCTTTAGCTGTATATTTTTTTGTATCTTAAAAGATTTATATTTACTGACTAATTCCACTATCGATTATTATAAAATTGCTTTGAATTATTTAAAGTACACTTATATCAGCTATTCCTTGCCGTAGGAGATGCATAATATGTGCTATAGAATTCATGTTGCTCTACATTTATCAATTTGTGCTCAGGCTGGTTTTTCTGACAATATTGTCAGTTTTAAATTTAAAATATTTAAATTATGAAATATTTTTTTAATACATAATATGATTTTATAAAATATATTTTTTCTTTCAGTGTGCAAATACGTGTGTCACACTGGGTGCGAGAGTAAGGTATGTAAATATTATCTGCTTTTCATTATTTTTATTATGTTGTCATATTTTTAGTAAGTATAGTTATTTCTAAACTAGAAAAAAAATTATGAATAGCTTATGTTTTACTTATTGATACTTATTATACAATTAAAATGATAATAATCTCTTGTATAGAACAGTTACACTATTACCATCGAGATTATATTTAATTATTCTTAACGATTAATGGACTACCATAATATTATATTAATATTGTTTTTTTTAGAATTACTAATATTTACTACATTATATTTTCTGAATACCTACATTGTATTTTCATTTCTTAGACATTATAAATACGCCACTTACTAAAGTAAATAAACGCTTTAACAAGTCAATATTAGTCCCGCTGAGTTTCTTTCGCCAGTTCTTCTCAGGTCTGAGGCTTCTTCTTTCCGAACTGGTAGTAGACTCATGACGTTCAGTAAAAAAATGTAACAATTTAATGCTGAATAAAATATTTTGATTTGATTTGGTTATATTTCAAGGCGAAGTACAAGAGAGGTATACCCAAAAAGCACAGGATGAAAAAAGTACTGCTCTAAATTGTTAATCCGTGGCGCCATCTAGGTAAGCTCATATTTAATGCTAAACAACGGCTGTTATTGTGGACGCTTGCGCATGATTACACAAGAAATAAAATTGTGCTCTACTAGATGGCGCTAAATATATAGATTGGTCATATTTTAAAGATAATGCCCAAATGACGAGGGTCGAATTGTTTTTCTATAGAAATATATACATACTTCTTTTAAAATAATATGTCTATGGTAACAAAAAACTTGATTTTAACGCGCGGCGCACAGCTTCTACAAATAACATATACAGAGTAGATAGGAACAATTCAGCTTACTTTTTTAAAGCATGCTTATTATTTTATCCTACATATTGTATTATTTATCTATAACCAAAGTAATAAATTATTCCAGTAATGTAATAATATTATTTAAATAACATATAGAACTCACTTAGATTGTACTCCCTCACTTAGATTGTATTTCATTAAATTATATATTCATAGAATAACGGAAACCTCAGTTCTAGTTGTCCACGTTTAGCCAGCAGCAAAATAGATGGTGATCAACCTCCCTTGTGTCACGTTCCCATTGTTAGCAAACTGTTTCAAATTGGATCTAATATAACATACAAGATAACAACTACACTTATTTATTTCTATCATTCAATTTTGATATGGTTGTGAATGTATTTTGTTTTTATATATTTAGAAAATACTCTGCAATTTAATATTTTATCTCCGCCCGCGTTTTCAGATGACCAAAAACCAAATTCTTAGGTTTTACATATTATTATTAGTATACTCTTACATTGCAGTTTTTGTATTTTTTCTCAGAAATGAGACATTTTCCTGCGATAAAAAGTATCCTATATGTTGACCCGTATAACCAGCTATCACCATACTGAATTTCATCAAAATTCGTCCAGTAGTTTTCTGTGATGTGGTAACAGACAGACAGACAGATAGACAGACTAAAAATCTAAAAGCCTCTGTATCGATAATAATGTTTCGTTTCAATAAGATTTTCAAAAAAATATTTAATGCGCAGATTCGGCTTAGTTACAATTTTATTATATGTATAAAAGAAGCCGAAAGTCCAATTAACAATTCGACATCATAGACATTACATATACTTATTACATTTACTTAGTCAACTCGTATCGTGCTAATATTATAAACGTGAAATGTGATCGAGCGACAGATACACTAACTCATGAACGAATTAGTCACAATTCGTTCATGCACTAACTGTAATAAATTCTTCTAATTATAACAGCCAATGCATATATGTGACATTCAGAATCGAGGTAGTCTTATATTTTTACGGGATATTTTTTCCCACGTCATTAAAAAAGCAGGGTATATTATAAAATATAAAAAGCTCATCTCATTGATAAATAATGTCGATCTAGCCTGACCTGAACAAAAAACGATATAACGTCTCTACATCATGCTCTTTGAAGTAAGAATTATTTTAAAATTATTGTGGGTTTTTTAATAATTGTTTAAGAGATATTTAACCTTATCATTCTTTCATAAAATATAGCAAATCCGTATTTTAAAAATCAATTTTTTTAGTTTTATTGTAAGATCATAAGATTGTTAGATGACTATAATAATATTTACGTATGGCGTCACTTACCGTATCGAGTTTGCTGGAAAATATTAGTTACAAATAAATTTTTTTTGAAATCTATATCATAATTACAATTTATTGCATGCAATCACGAGATGGGAAGACATATTTTAAAAACTTGCCCAACAACTATTAGTTTTATGAACTATATCGCTTGTTGGATTTCCAAACGAACATGGTACATATTTTAGTATTGATAGTTTGAAATCACGAACGTCACTTACAACACCGTTACTTTCTTTTAAAAGTATATTGGGTCGTAAAAATCTCATAAATTTTGTAGTAAATGTATGAGGATCACTGTAGTTTATGTGGTTTACACTTGTCGATAAAACAATGTGCTTGTAAATATTCTTAATCTTAAAAGAAAATAAAAGTTAGAGTCGAGTTTTGCGATTATTCGTCTGATACGATCGTATATCGTGTCGTGAAGCAAAAGCTATCTTAAACGCATTTGCGCGTACCCAAAATTATCTTTCTTTTATATCGTTATTAATGTCAGGATGTCTAATTTAATGGAAAAAAATGTTATATTGTAATTTGGTGATATTTTTGCTCTTTTACCATTATATAAAATAACTTATTGGATCTGACTAAGGTGACGTAAATATTATTGCTTCGTCGGTGTCGGTAAACAACGTAATGTTGATTTTAATTAACAATAAAATGTTTAAATATTTATAATTACACACAATTAATATTTTCTTTGCCTAAACTATTACTCTATCTGAAATAAAGGCATGTTATATAGTAGAGTCCTCAGTTTAGATGGACATGAAAAGGAAAAAAATAGTAATTTAATCTGACTTTGCGAGTTCATTCAGTGCGCCACGCGGGTGCAAAATGTAAATGAAGAGGCCTCTTGGACGCCGGAATTACTGAGAAAGGTGCCTGAACGCTACTCGAATCTGATGAATGAGTCGAACGCGAATGTTTTACGTCGTTGTTAAAGCATTTTTTATTATTATTTGCATAACAAGAAAGGTACGGCTTTTAGTTGTACTTAGATTTCAGTTAAAATTCTAATATATGGAGTTATTTTAAACCGAACTTTATCTTTCAAGTGCCATAACTCTCTATTTAGTTCATGCTTTATCTGTTATTTTAGTTTTGCAGATTTACGATTACTATTTTAAATACCTAGGATTTATTAGGATTATAGGATTTATATTATTAAACAACATTGAAACTAAGATAAATTTCTACCTTATATAACATTGTCATTACACGTATCCTATATGTATATAGGGTGGAACTGGGGATGGAATACCACAGTTAGAAGTTAGGTGGTGGTGTAGGGATGCGGGCGTGGGTCAGGTGCAACGCTCGACGGAGTGCCCGCGGCTTTCGACCACTCTCGCGACTCGGCGAGCCTGAACAGTGAACAATGTCGGCGACTCTGGAGTCTGGCTAGCAGATAGCAGTACCGACGCGCGCGCCGACCGGCCTACGCGCACGCGAAATCCACTCGCGACGTTGTATATTTGCGAATTTCCTTTTTCACATAAAAATATCGTAAAACTGTTCATAAATAAGTCTATCTGTGGGTCTTTGTGGTGCTATTATTAAGATAACAAATCTATCTACAATTGCCAATTTTGGTATAATATTTATATTTGCATTCGAAGTAGGTATATTATGTAGAGCTACGAGTTTTCTAAATTACAATAAATGCTATCTTTTTTATATATCACAATTTAGTTAATTTATTTTTTAAATATATTTTTATTCATTTTGTTCAGAAACTGTCGTTTGGATTATGTTGACATACATATGTATGTATGCATTTCGAAAATGTTATTTATTGCGTAGGTCCTTGGCCAATCATCATCATTCATTCATAGATAAGTAAAAAAATGATGTTATTTATTTGTTAATTAATATGGAGCAAGAAAATGAGAAGTAAAAATGTTATATCATAATAATTTGTTACGCATGAACATTTTATAAAAAAAATAACTTAACGTCTCTCTACCAGAGTATAACTTTTTTGTGTATGTCATTGACCTCACAATGTTTGGAGCATACCTAAGATTCCGCCACCACCATGAAATTTAATAGTTTGAAAAAAGTATAACTATTGTAGAAAATCATGTACAGATCTTGTAAAATGAACATATCTTAGAAAATGAACCTCGTTGTAGAGTTAAAAACAGGCGATAAATAATTTCTTCCGCCTTATTTGGTTGGTCTAACACTTTACTTATGCAAATATATGCATAATAACTATGGCTAACGTTCAAGGTGATTGCGATATATTATCAAGTAAAAATAGAATCGTTTCGTTCATAATCACCGACGACGATTGTGCACGATATCCGATAAGTGTGTTATGTTTTTGGAATTTTAGCGATAACTTACGCTTTGAGTCACGTAAGCCACTTCATAGCTTACAGGTGTACACTTGTGATAGTAATATCGAATAATCAATTGTTTATAATTACTACCAAGAAATTTAACTATATATCTGTATTAAGACAAAGAATTCAAGTGATTATAAATACGGGTTAATTAATTATATTTTCTTGATGTAAATAGTTTCAGAAAGTTTAGAGAGATTAAGCAGTGATCGTGAGAAAAGCCAGTGAAGTGACAATCGTTATAGATGGAAACTGCACCATTTATAGTTGATATAACTTGGATAAGAACTGTAAAGTGAAACTTTTTATAGACCAGACGGCAGTTTTTCAGTGAGAAATGTTTCATAACAATCGTCTTGGAAACAGTGGTACCAGTAGTACCTCAACTTCATCGGGAAGTTCAGATTTAAGGGTATGATATTTATGTATTAAGTGTTTTAACACATAAGTTTAACACATTTTAAAT